ACTTGGTGAAACATAACAAACTTGTTTCTCTCGGCCAATAAAATATCATTGTAGTGATTCAACATTGAAGGAACAAGAGATCGAATCCTTCCCTTATCAGACTTTCCGTCTAATGTGGGCACACATCCAAGGATTTCATTAACTTGGGGGGGAACTTGTTCATCTAATATTGATGGCTATAATCCTCTAGTTAAGTGCTACCAAATTGTGTTACTTTCTGCAATCATGTATATTCCGCAGGCAAAATGAAATATTAATGGTTGGTCTTTGGGAAGCAATTTCTTATTTCATGTTATTTCAACTGGCTTGATACAGTTGTATGGTATATAGAGTTTAATTATACGCCTCTGACGTGTATATACCGAAAACTTCCCAACAGGGGTCTGGAGCCTACATTACATGCATCATTGAATAAACCCTGGACAGATCACCAGTATATCAAAGAAGCAGAGAAACCCAGAACATTCAATCTCAAAAAAGAAAAACAGCCAGCAGATTAAAATCGAAAACCATCTTGCTTTGTGACAATGCTAAACACTGAGCCACCATGAGAAAATATGTGCATGTATATTGACATTACCATCTCCTCTGTTGAAATATGTACAGTATTTTCAAGCTAAACAGAAGTGAGCCTGCTTTAAAAACGGTGACATTCAGTCCATCGCCTCCTCACACTCCATCATTCAGGCCCTCTTGACACAGCTCACTCCAGACTGCACTTCAAGGTGCTTCACAGAAACTCTGAGAAAAGGCATCAACTAAAAGATCTGAAAAAGTACTTCAGTCATTTTACATATAATCCTGTTACAATAAACGGCTCTTTACACTTCCTATGCCGCACACATACAGCATGGACACATTTCATGACTGGTGGCTGTGATCAGTCTCATGCTCAAGGGAATACAACAGGTTACTGAGTATTTAGTTCAGTGAACTGTGAAAAATGGGAACATGTGTAGAGTTCTGGAAATAGTTGACAAGGGAAATGTTAAGGCACATTATGAAAAGTTTACTCCACATCACCAGTCCCTGCAAGTGACTCCACAGCAATAGAAATGGTGAGAGGGAGAAACTTCTGAGCCCATTCTGTTTGACTGATCACTGGTCTTGTGTTGGGATGGCTTGTACACACATTGATTTCAGTCTATAGACTACCTTTATTATTTTATCACGGTAGGTGGGGACCTTTGTTATCGAAAGCCTCTGAGCAAGTGCAATATATTTCATATTGTATTACAGGCAAAGGCATACAACAGTTCCTTTTGGGACCACTGACCTATTCAGTGCCACATTACTACAACTGAGGACCGGTGCTCTTTTCAACAAAGAGTTCTGAGCCTTATAGTTTGAAACCAAGCACCACCAGTGTCTGCTTAGTGACTTACTCAGGCAAATATGGAGCTTTATTATGCTCTAATCAATTTAATAGCCTGCTGAAATAACTGTAATGCTCAGGGCATATCAGATGACATACATTAGATACCCTGTATTAAATGTACCTCCCTGTTCTAATCCATTTCAAAACTATTATGAGCAACAGTTTAAAAACTGCTAACCACAAACAATTTCAGTATTTAAGGTTTCTATTTGTGTCATCATGCCCGTTTCACTGTTATCAGAGCAATAACTAATCCCCTATGAATGAAAACGAAGAGCTAATATTGCTCTTCTTCAATGATGGTCACAAGTGGCTCATTTTGTAGTGTTGTTATTTCTTAGGCTCAGTTGTTCTTGAGCCCTTATGCAACCGTTATCTGTTAACCTGTCATTCACGCTGTGCATGTCATTGAATATCTTACCAACATATCATTTAGACCATACAACAGTGTGTGAGATTTATTTGTCTGTCAAACATCTTACAATGACACCAAATGAATAAAATTCATGAGCAAACATGAAAGTATTTACACAAATTGCAAGTGTTGCTCCTACAGAGAAACACGATGTATCAGCACTGAGTTCCATGAATCAGTACTGTATTGGTTCAAATGTGAATGATACTACTCACCACTAAGTGAAGGTAGAGGAAAACTAGTCGTACACCTTGTGAAATGATTTATTAGACCTAATTAAACAACATAAATATGTACATGTTTTGCTGAATCAGACAAAGGTTCATCGTGCTTGATGTATCCACAGATTCCTCTGGCTTCTGCAGAGTTTAATCTCTAAAGGAGGAAAAGGAAAATATGGTGGCATGCACTGCTTTAAAAGACAGGATTCTTTTTTCTCCTATTTTCAAAGCTATAAAGTTGTCATTTTGTTTTGTTGCTGGCACCTTTTACAGTACATGTATAAAACCTTTTGCAACATGTCAGCGTTCACCTCACCAGAATGTGTGTGCATGTTTGTGAAATAATTTGATCCCTGCTGGGAACTACTAAAACATTAGGACAGCTCTGCAGCGCTCGTAAAAGCTGGAGAAGACAAGATGACTTCAGTGTGTTAGGAAAGTTGATAAATGATTTTGTTCCTGAGCATAACAGAAGACACAAATACACATCACTCTGAGAATGTGGACTAGATTGGACAGATTTCCTGCTCAGATGTTCATCTAAAAGGTGTCTTGGGATTCTGGGTTATTTCCCACCTACCAAAAACATTT